GGTAAGTGGTTGCTGTGGTCCATAGACATCTATGTCTATCCTCGTATGCGATTCAAAATGCAAATGCGTTGTCACCCGTGAGTAAGATGGAACGCCTCGTTTCCAGTAAAAAGGGTCTCCGGTTCTCTACACTCACCATACGAAACACAGCAAGCAGCACTAAGCTATTTCACGCTGGTATTCTGTGAGAGCATGGTCCTTCCCCGGTCGAGCCGACCCATTCGTGCTACGACTATACTACTAATATAACTGCAGCATGGCTCTACACATAGAAAATTAAATTAATTACAAACTCTGTAAAGTTATGTAATAATGAGTACCTACTTTTTATAAAAATATTAAATTGGCATATTGTTAATAACTGAGCTTATGCGCAAAATTACGTGAAACCATAAAAATGAATTTGCAATCGATACACATTAGCGGAAGTCGACAAATTATAACATAAATTGCTTCAAGAAGCACATTGTTATGTCACATCGGTTATCATCTTACGAACACATTTAAACTGTCTTAAGTCGTAAACATTTCATTTACTTCCGTGATTTTAGCACATGGAATAAAATTAGTTTCACTTTAGTTTATTTTTAAATTCCTAACGTTTTGAGCGCTTAGCGACAAAATCAAGCACTGAGATTTTAACTGTTTTTACCGACTTCAAAAAAGAAGAGGTATTCAATTCGACTGTATGTTTTTTATGTGTCCTCATGACCGATTTTGGTGATTCTTTTTCATCTGAAAGCTAGTGCATCTCGTGTGGTCCTACATAAATGTAATCAAGATCTGACCAGTAGTTTTGAGTTATCTTTAGTAATAGGTATTTTAATTGACTTCGAATACATTGATTCGGTCGTATTGAAGTCGGTTGAACAAAATTTTTAATTTTTTACAACCGACAGTATAAATAGGAGTATTAAAGTAGTTATACCTTTTTACCTAAAATAATGGATTTTTAATTTCACATAAATTTGATCATAGTTTTAGAGATAATAACAAAATAACTGCGTTGAAAGTGGCGGATGATGACCCAAAGACTATTATTATACATCTGCAGGTTTTTATTCAAGTTCAACGCGGATGAAGTGCCGGGTAAAAACTAGTTGCTCCGTGAGATTATTGCAAGTCCTCCCCTACAACAGGAGTGTTGTCTTCGTCTTCATATTCTATAATAATCCATTAAAGTCTACTACCGAATATGTATGTATTCATTCCGTCAAATGTCTTGCAACAGCCTTTTAACTTCTGATAAAAAGTAAGAGCATGGTAGCATCTAGGCAGCTTTTATATTGAAATCAGCCGGGCTTGCATCGGCAGGAGACAAAATTTTTATCCCCCGATTATATCAACCGACAAGGGGTAAAATTGTCTTATCCCTATGCCAAAGTTTTATCCACCCTGCGAGCATGTGCCTATGGTGTATATAATATCGACAGTAGATAAAATAGGAGATAGACTTATCCCCACGCATAGGATAATATACCATAGTATAAAGCTATAAACTATAAATATAAAGGGCACGTACAAGTACAAGGGAACAAAGCGGAACGTCACGAAACTGTGACGCTACCGCATTTAAAAATTCGAAAAGTGGTAAAAAGTTAACAGATTTCAGTATACTTAGTACACTGAAATCTGTACTTACTGGTACTTAGTACGTTTTTAATTTTAATGTCCTCGTGTATCACGAATACCCTCTAAAAGGACCGTTGTTACTTTGCTCGAATTTATCAAATCTATCAAATCAAATTAGATTATGTCAAATCTTTTTATATCGCCAATCCTGATAATGATCGGGTATCAGACAACGCCTAACAGAATAAGCTGAAGTGGCAATGGGCCGGCCATATAGCTCGGAGAACAGACAACCGCTGGGGAAGAAAGGTTCTCCAGTAGCAGCATTCTACCGGTAAGTCAACTTCTCAGTTGACAGTCAACGCTTCTGTAGTTCCCTACGGCAAAACTAAGTAAATGGGAGATAAACAAGAGAATAATGCTTTAATGTAAATTTTGAAATCAGTAAAACAATATTACTTATCTACAAAGAATTTAGGTTTGCCTACATATATCAGCATGTTAATTATTTGGATGTAAAAGTAATTTTTTATATAGTATAGCATGAGAAACGAGCACACAGACTACCTGATGGTAAATGGATACTATGGTCCGTAGATATCTACATTTATTCTCAATAAAGTATCAAAATGCAGGTGTGTTGTCACCCCTGAGGACTAAGATGGAATGCCTCGTTTCCAGTAAAAATGGTCTCCGGTTCTCTACACCCACCATACAAAACACAACAGCAGTAAGCTGCTATTTCACGCTGGTTTTCAGTGAGAGCGTGGTCCTACGCCGTTCAAGCCAACCTTGACCTTCATGCTACAACCATAATATATAATAATATAGCTGTAGCGTAGCTCTGCCACTGCCTGAGTACAGCAGTAAAACATATAAATATTAGCATTAACTACTTTCAACGCTTAATTTCATTTGCATTTGCTGTAGAAAAGTGGTCATTAAGGAGTATGTTAGGTATGAATCTGAATCGAAATCTGAATGACAGGGTGAGAAATTGTGTGATAAGAGAAGAGTGTGGTTTGCACGATGATGTTGTGACAAGGGTTAAGAAAGAAATGCTTCGGTGGTTTGGTCATGTAGAAAGAATGAACGAGGAAAGAGTTTATGTTGCATAATTAAACGGAAATTTTGGAAAGGGATGCCCTAGACAAAAGTTTATCGACAAAATTGGCGATATATAGACGATGGGCTAGATTAAGAGTACCATTAACCAACAAGAGTAAGGAGGATATTTAAAGGAGGCGAAAGAGGTGTGTCAAGGTCGAGGTGTGACAGGCGTCAGTGTTTATGTTTTTTTTATAGGATAAGGGTGGCAAACGAGCACACAGCCCACCGGATATGCTATGGCCCATAGACATCTACATTTAACCTCAATTAAGAATCAAAATTAAGATGCATTGTCACCCTTGAAGACTAAGATGGAATGCCTCGATTACAGTAAAACGGGTCTCCGCTTCACTACACTCACCATACGAAACACAGCAGCATTAAGCTGCTATTTTACGCTAGTATTCTGTGAAAGCGTGGTCCTTCCCTGGTCGAGGCGACCTCTACCACGTAAAAAAATAGCTGCAGCGTAACTCTACAACGTATATAGGTTTAACATTTTTAAATATTTTTACTTAATTTAACTACAATTAGAAAACTGCTTAAAATGTATTAATATGCCATCAAAAACATAACTTGTAAAAATAACCAACTCTCGCAACACAGTTTTTCTACCGTAAAAAGTTGTAAGATCCATATAGGTAATACCAAGTCGGTTTATTTATTTTTTCAGTCCCTACTTAATGGTCCTTCTGTTTTAAGTTAAAAACTAAAGTAATTAGCTAACCTAACAACATCTTATAGTGACCATATCAATGTTAAAAATCTTTTATATTTTAAATAAATAGAGATTGACTTGGCTATCGCATGATAACACCATGTATCTCACAAGTAATTAGATTGTTTAGTGCGATTACCAAGTTAGGTTAGAGTACTATTAGGTTAGAGGAAGGAGAGGAAACATGTTTTCTCTTAGAACCATAATGAAGTTCAAATGTGTTACGATTTTTTATCAAATTTTAATTTAATAAGCAAAATACTATTATTGGGTAACAAGGTTGATATTAACGCACGTGCCGAAGAGATCCCAACTCTAGCATAATAGGTTTAACAGGATTAAGGTTAATGGACACCAATTTAGTAAATTAATCGACATGATTGCTAAGGCTTTACTATGTGATTACAACAATACCATCATAAAAACGATTTTACATGGATTCTATGTAAAACATAACAAATTAAATTTTTTAAAGTTACTTTAGATTAGTTAAAAATGTTTCGTTTATGATACAAAATAAAATGTATGATACATAAGGTGAAAGCCTTGGTAGCATCATTCTAATAAATCGATATTACACAAGTATGCATATAAGTGTGTATGAGAACCCTTGATCTCAATGTAAGATTTAAGTATTCTTTGTCTTATACCGCAACTCCACTTATTGATTGTTGCAAATATAGACTTAAGCAACTGTTGCAAATGCTAACATAATAAAAATTACATAACTTTTTATTTGTATATTTTGATGACAATCTCATTAACAAACAAACTACTTACTGAACTTACTTTTGACTGGGTATGTTTTCTATTACAGATATTTCCATATCAGAAAAATTACAATCTAGGCGATATAAAGCTTAAAATATGTGTACAAAAAGCTTCTTTTAATATTTGCGTTTTTAATGTTTTAATTAATATGATAAAGTTACAACTTATATACATCCTACTGCTGAGGGTTTAGCTTCACTGCCGTGCACTCTGAACTACCACGGCTCCAATTAAATTTATAAATACATTATATTTAGTTTCCACAACCTCTCTCAGAAATGAGAGGAGACCTGTTCTCAGTAGTAGTACGTTTTTTAGGTTTTAACTTTTAATTTCCATAATAAAAAATAACAACTTTTGGTAATCACTAACGTAATACGCCACTTACTGCACAAAAACCTCAAAATCAATCAATAATTGCTAATGGAAAACCGTGGTAAATGGGAGAGAGAATTCATCGCTAAATTTCATTACTTGAGTGTTATGATTGCCGGCTATGAAAAAGGCTAGCACAATTTGATGGTTTTCGATAGATAACGTTATAACTAACTCTATAATATACTCGTACGGGTATATTATAAAGTTATTATTATTACCCGGCGTACGCTCTACGCTAAAAAAGAAATACATTTTATTTATTTGTTAGATTTTGTATTATTTTATTTTAGTGGTCTAAATCCATCTTCGTTTTATTGATTCTCTAATGAGACCGATTTGGGGCGAATCGGTTGGATGGTTTCAAAGTCTATAATGCACGTAAGGTGGGAACATTTTCTGTTTAATAGAGTTAAAGGTGCGATACGTCTGTTCTGTGTTGATCCTACACTTCCTACACTGAGAGGCCCATATTCAGCACTAAACTGTAAACTGAGAGACCCATGTTCAGCACTGAACTGTAAACTGAGAGGCCCATGTTCAGCACTGAACTGTAAACTGAGAGGCCCAAGTTCAGCACTGAACTGTAAACTGAGAGGCCCATGTTCAGCACTGAACTGTAAAATGAGAGGCCCATGTTCAGCACTGAACTGTAAACTGAGAGGCCCCTGTTCAGCACTGAACTGTAAACTGAGAGGCCCATGTTCGGCACTGAACTGTATACTGAGAGGCCCATGTTCGGCACTGAACTGTAAACTGAGAGGCCCATGTTCAGCACTGAACTGTAAACTGAGAGGCCCATGTTCAGAACTGAACTTTAAACTGAGAGGCCCATGTTTAGCACTGAACTGTAAAAGCTGATAAAGAAGATAGAGAAGCTGATAGAGAAGCACAAAAGCTTGCATATTTATAAGTATAATTCTAAATGGTCAAAAACATTCTAAAATAAATTTTACTAAAATAAACAAATACAGAAGAAAATATAACGAAATGCCGATAACCTATTCTACTAACTATTTCTATAATGTTTTAAATATTTGATCTGCGAACCAACTAAATTTCAAATTAAATTACTTGGGCCATAACATATGTTGAAACATTTCAATGTTGTTAATAATGACGGTTATTTTATATAACCTAAGCTACATATAGTTTTAGAAAATATAACCTAAGTTTTCTTATAAAACAAACAGTTAACATTCATGGCTATAGCTCAAAGCATAGACTTAGAATAATATACTGGCTTTTTATTCTAAGTAAATTATTCCAAATTTTGCATAATTTATAAGACGATAATGCAGTTGCTTAATACGTAAAATTTTGAAATTTGTTTAGAAAATACATTTCATGAAGTCGAACTAGAACTACTAACTTTTACACCCAAATTGATTTAAACAAGATGCCAATAATAGTAAATTTTCCAAATCAAAAACAAAACAAAAAAACATTATAAAAAGGAAGTAAAAAAGAAGTGACAGACAAGGCATAAACCTTTTACAAAAACACTTGTACTAGATGGAAGGAAATCGTTTTCAGCCATCTGGCTACCCTCTTATTTATTTTTGTCACGAAAGAGCTTACAATGCTAGGTTCCGTTCTGAAGGATACAGAGCCAGTATATGCGAGACATGTCAGTCCTCATTAGTGACATGTACGACATATCTGTTCGTCTTCTTTCTATGAAGCTGGCTGCAGGTGTCCATGAACTGCAGTAGACACTTACTATCGTGTGGACTGAAAGTTCGTTAGTTCTGTACAAAAAATTCTCCACCTTGACACCTTTTTCGACCTTGCGGCCAGAGGTTACTAGGTCGTTGTAGTAGTGCAACCAATTCGCGCGGTTGTATGAAGCAATATCTCCGTTCCGTTTATCTACTCTTGCTAAAACCTGAAACTGGTTCGACCGATTCTGATGATTTTTTTTAAGTATGTACAAGTGGCTACTGCCCAACTGTAGTAACAAGTTTAGATAATCCATTTTTCAGCCCGTGTGTGTCAGACACCTAAGGGAAATGTTTCCTTATCTTGTTACCTTCCATAGATGGCGAAATTGATATCTCTATCTCTTATTATATTTCATTATAGAATAAGGGTAAAAAACGTACACAGTCTAAATGTTACTAAGTAGATACTGAGGCGGCCCGTAGACACTTACATCTATTCACGAATCAAAATACAAATGCTTTGTCACCCCCGACTAAAATGAAATATCTTTATGTCAGTAAAAAAGAATCTCTGATTCTCTGCACTCATCATACTAAACACAGGAGCATTGCTATTTTGCTTACCCCGATTGAGGCGACCCATTCATGAGACAATGATAATATATCTGCAGCGTAACTTTCCCAATTCAATATATTATGGCCTATGCTAAATATTCAAACTCAAGATTTAGAGTTGAAATAAGTAAACAAGCATAATGTTTACGGCTCTTTACTGTGAAATTGACGCGAAACTGGCAGTAGGCAGTTTTTGGGGCGACGAGAAACGAAGTCTCGTCAACTCATTTGTGAAGTACAAGTAAAACGAGGTAAATTTCTTTGAATCCCTCCGTATTCACATTTATCAGATTGAACATATTAGTTGGGGCTTAGTATTTTACAAACGGATCGCTTGAAAGTTCAATTAAGGAATTCCTGCGTTTTTTTAAGCGTTTTTGCTTTTGTGTCTAGATAGTGGTTTTTGTTATATAGTAATAACCACAGAAATCGTAATTATATAACAAATTATTACTATTTCTGTGGTAATAATCATTGTTAGATAAATAGAATAGACCTACTTCTTGCGATTGCTATTGAGTGTTTTTAATTTGTTTTGCAAATTAAAAAATTTTACCTAGATCCTCCATAGATTAGCTTATGGGTTTAATATTTTCCATATTAAACCACACTTTGTGGACGTGTTGGAAACGGCCGTATTTTTTAGTATTTTTAAATTGAATTTATTATTTTTTAAATTGTATTTTTAAATATCAGAAAAAGAGGCGAAAGATTTGCACAGCAAGCCTATGTCTTGTCCTATCTTCTGATGCCTCTTACGACTCTTGAGCTTGACGAGACAGCCAATGGCTTGTTAAATTTTATAACCTATCTGGTTTAACCTCCATACACACAAAATGAAATAGGATTACAGATTTTCTTATGACGACACCATACGGGAATCTGACTGCCTCGTCCTCTTATAATACAATTTTCCATAGTTCAAAAAGTCGTTACGAGAGTCAATTGTATTAAGTTATTGCCACATATTTTTGTCAACATATATAAAATAACGATAAAACATATGAAAACAATAATAACTAACACTATTTCAGAAACGCTTTAAAATAAATTACATACTCTATTACAATTTAAACATCATTGGAATTCTCAAATACAAATAAAGTTGTTTACTTTCGGGTAAAAGTTTATTTTTGTAAATAATTTAATTAAATATGGAAGACAGGAAAGAAATATTTTATTGTGGTTTTATGGCTAGGACTAATAGTGGTCTGTATTATATTATGGCATGGAGTAATAATTATATTCATATAATAAATAATTGATGATTAGTAATAAATATATTATATAAGGATAAGATTTTCCTTAAGGCACATAAAACACAAATTTTATTATGTTTATACCTCCATAATTTTAGATCATTTCAACAAGTTATGACAAACCTCGTACCTAATAGATACATAAAGTCGCAGCTAAGGCCGCTTTTTGTAGACAAATTATTGACTTTAAATGTTTAGAAACAACTATACTAGACTTTTTGAGGCAATTTATCTTAAGTTTCATGATGTCCTTTGTTATTTATATTTATTCTGCTTTTTAGGGTTCCGTAGTCAACTAGGAACCCTTATAGTTTCGCCATGTCTGTCTGTCTTCCGTCTGTCCGTCCTCGCTTAATCTCTGTGACCGTTAGCACTAGAAAGCTGAAATTTGGTACCAATATGTGTATCAATCACACCGACAAAGTGGTAAAATAAAAATTGGAAAAAAAATGTTCTATTAGGGTAGTGGGTAGTCCCCTTAAAGTGGGAAGTGATTTTTTTTAATTTCAATCCTAACGTGTGATATATTGTTGGAAAGGTATTTAAAAATGAATAGGGTTTTACTAAAATCATTTTCTGATAATGTCAATAATTTCGGAAATAATCGCTCCAAAAGTAATAAACAATGTGCCCCCCCCCTCTAACCTTCGAACCATAAGTTTCGAAAATATGAAAAAAATCTGAAAAGTAGAACTTTATAAGGACTTTCTAGGAAAATCCTTTTGAACCTGGATGGAAACAACAGTACCCACTACCGGGAGCAGTTGCAGGAGCGCGGAGCGCTGCTGGAGCGCGAACATAATGGATACCCACCTTTAAACTCATAAGTGGGAACACTTATTGTGACGGACGGGAAATTACGGAACCCTACACTGAGCGTGGCCCGACACGCTCTTGGCCGGTTTTTTTAGAATAAAGGTAACAAACGAGTGCACAGTTCATCTGATTGTAAGTGGATGCTTGTGGCCCATAGATATCTACATTTATTCTCGATTAAGAATCAAAATGCGGTTGCGTTTCCACACTAGAGGACGAAGATGGAATGTCTCGTTTCTAATAATTAGAGTCTCCGGTTCTCTGCACTCACCATACGAAACACAATAGTATTAAGCTGCTATTTTACGCTGATATTCTGTGAGAACGTGGTCCTTCCCCGGTCGAGCCGACCCATTCGCGATACAACCATAATATAGCCGTAGCGTGACCCTACCTCGTAAAAACTAATGGACGCCAGACGGTCAGTTAAAGTCATCAGTTGAACTGATATCAGTTCAAACGGATTTAAGCCAAAGAAATTACCACCCACACGGTCAGTTCAACTGATCATTCCAACAAAACAGTTTAAACTAGGGTTGTTGATATGTTTTAGAATGTCGGATTTTCGATATATCGATAATTGTAAATATATCAATATCCGAGTTTTATCTATCGTGAGTTAATATACAGTAAGACAGTATCGGAGTTTTATATATTGAAAGAAATATCGATATATCGGCTTTATTTAAAAAAAAAAACAATCGTAATGCATTTAGTTTCGTTCATTTATTACATTTATTAAGCAAATTAAATTATAAATGTATGAAAATGTTAGATTATAGTTCTTATTAATAATTTTTTAATTAACATTAGACGATTATGTTTTCCAAGATTTTTCAGTAAGAGTTTTCAAAAATACTCGTTGTTTTATATTGTCAACTGTTTTCTTCGATCAACAATACCAACTAGATGTCGGGTCGGCGCAAGAAATCCATCTAAGTAAATAAAAGCGTACATGAGACGTGAGCTCTTATTTCGTGTAGTTCACTTGAAACACAGCCAACGTAAACACGTTTCACAATGCCGCAATGTGTGTTTAAAAGTTGCAATAATAATGCCCGAAAAAGTAATTAAACGGCAGGAGTGTCTTACTTTCGGTAATAACATGTATGATATGTTATATTTTAAGCTTTAAACTAACAAATAATATCATATTTGAAACAAAATTACTAATCATAACCACCCCTACAAATATTTTGGCAATGTTTACCAATACACGCGCAAACATATGTGAAACAGAACATGGACGCATGAAGTAGATTTGTATTGTAATACATTACATAAACACTCACGCCTGTCACCCAGAGGGGTAGGCAGAGACTACGGACTTCATTTGGCACGATCCTGACATACCTCTTTCGCCTCCTTTACATCCATATATCTACGCATACATGCTCGTCGGTTAAGGGTACTTCTAACGTGGCCCATTTTAAAAATATCGCCAATTT